TTTCCTGTCCCAGTCCTTTTGGTCCTTTAGATCCTATCCCATGGCAGCTGGCAGTGGGCAAACTGATGGCTCCCATCAGAATAGACAATGAGGGGAGGTGCTGGTGGGAATTGGGGGGGCTCTTGTACAGGTACCTCCACTTCAACTGAGGGGCACAGGAAACTGTACCAATTCTGAGCACCAGGGTAGAAGCTAGCCCTTCTCCCACAAGGCAGCTCACTCTGCTACCAAAACTACCCCATCCCACCCTAAGCAGGCTGGGCAAAAGAACATCAGTTAAGAGGAGATGTCTGCACCAAATCTAACCCTCTGGAAGCCAGGCCCAGCTCGTGTCCTTCAAGGGTTTTTGAAGAAAAGCCCAATGAGGAAAATGCTGCTGGCCTGCCTGAATATCAGGGGCCTGCCAGAATCCCTGCTGCCTTCCAGAGCTTGGCCCACGTCCCGTACCCCAATTTCCCTATCTGTTAAGTAGAGACGCACCCTCCCTGGCATCCCATCCTTGCAAGGATTCAGAGGTTCCAGGGGACAGGTGTCCTCTTAAACCAAGGTAGCTTTGGTTCTGTTAAATTCCAACCATCTTTGTTTAATGCTGCCTCCTTTCTGGCTTCCCTCTCAGCTAGCAGCTGTAATCCAATGTCAGGATCCTACTGGTATATTCCAAACCACTAACCACTGGTGAGGGTCTCTGGGTCACCAGGAAGTAGACAGAAATGAGAGAGAAAAGTACAAACTCACTATTTAAGCATTTCCTTGCCATTCAGCAAATCGAGGCTTTTCTTGCCCAGCAAGGCTCCTGGGCAAGGGTGTGTGTGTGTGTGTGTGTGTGTGTGTGTGTGTGTGTGTGTGTGTGTGTGTGTAAGAAAGAGAGAGATGTAAACAGACCAAAGAACAGGGAGCAAGAGACAAAAAGACCAGGGTGGGTCTGGGACAGTGGAGCCCCTAGCCAGGGGGCCTTTGGTCCTGAACTTCTTAGGGCTGACTCAGTGCCATGTAAATAGGATGTAGCAGTATATGGATGGGACAGGAGCAGCATGACTCTTCCCACCAGCCACCCTCCTCCATGAAGTTGCACAAGGGCAGACTCTTACCAACTGTCATCTATTTTTCCTGAGTCCAGAGCAGGTGAAAGAGACATCTGCCTGGTCACTGTTGAGAAAGAGGGAGCAGGAAGGTCGGCCCGTATGTCCACGGAAAGAATATCGTGTAACACCTAGCCTTGGGGACTTTCAGGGTTGTCCTCATCCCAGAAGTAACCAAGAGCCCTCCAACAAGTGAGTATTCAGCCACACTGTCCCAGGGTACTTCCCAGGGTGTGTAGAGTCCCCCAGGATTCTGGGAAGGCAAAAGGATGAGACACCTGCCAGCGGTAGAGTAGAACAGCCTCATCCGGTGAGGTCCCAGAGGCTGGAGATCTGCCAATGTCCATGGGGCTACCAGGAAAGCAGTGTCAGGGGTCCCTGTCAGGATCCTAGCAAAGCCTCAACCTACCTACTCTGCACTCCTGAAAAAAGCCACACTTAAGGCTGTTCAAGGGAGACAGTATGTTTATTGTAGCCAATAGATCCAAGCAAGAAGACAAACTGCAAAAGAAACTCAGCCTGCTCCAAAAAGCAGATATATCCCAACGGTCGTGTCACAGAGGACCGTTTAAGTTTCTCTCCCCTTCCAACCACCACATAGCACGTAAGACCCAGAAAGTCGTTGGGTTTTCACCTCCAAGTGCACAAAGAGCAATAAGAACATTCCATCATTTGCCTTTGGTGAATCAACTCAATACACTGAGCAGTGATTACCCTTCCCCCCACGACGTGACTTTTGGGGTAGGTGTAGTGAGATGTTTTATATTTGTATATATAATATATCTATACCTATATAGAGAGAGTATGTACAAATGCATCAGCAAGCTTCAATAAAGGAAGACATCAGCAAGAGGCACAGCAAGAGACACAGGCTGTCTACCCGTAAGACATAAGTAGGAAGAAAAATTTCTTGATTCGTCACCCGTTCCAACTGCACCAAGCCATTCCTCTGGACTGGGACTATCCTTTCGGACCTGGCCAGTATTTTCAATTGTCTATCTGCTTAACCTGACTTTGTAAATATTTACCAGCCCAACCTCCCCAAGAAGACTTGCAGAGAGAAATATGGATCCAATCAGCTTTTCCTTGTTATAAATTGGGAATAACTGTGATGAGTCCATAGCTAGGGGGCAGATAGCTATTTTCAAAGCCAGTTCCAAGGCACCTCAAGGCATTTCAGTCCTGAAAAATTGTGCTTTGTTCTTATAAGCTAAATCCAATGGGTTAGCCAGCCTGTCTCTCTTTCCAGCGGCCCTTAATTAGGAGGAAGAGACAGATGGGGATTCGGAGAGAGCAGGAGAGGCCGGGGTGGGGGGGTTGAAAGCCCACAGACTGAAACCAGCAGAGTGCAGTGGCGTGAGCGTGCAGCCGGAGGTGGGGCCTGAACCCCACTGCCCAGGAAGAGGAATACTTTGCTGGCACAAGCTAGAAAGCAGGGTAGAGAAATGGCTGCTGCAGAAACATCTCACCGGTTTCCCACCTCTACTCACAGAAGCCCCAGTTTACTCCCAGTCTCACTGCCCTGAGGGAGACAGCAGTGTGAGACCTCTGGAGGAGAGTCTAAGAGGCTGGAGAAAAAAAGTGCATATGAGGACAAGCACCTGGGGGCAGAGATGGCTCCTGACCCAGCCCCATCTACGTGGGCCCCTGAGGCCCTGGAGAGGCATTGCTTTCCCCAGGCCCCAGTTGGTCAGGACGGGCAAGGAAAAGACCCCAGAAGCCTTGGGCTTCATGATGGAGAGTTGGGACTTAGAAAGAACCTAGGAAATCTTGCAAATAATTTTCCTAAATGCTGTGAGTCCTAGAAAAAGAAAAGTTCCCAATATCAACACAGATCCTCACTCATCCTGGGAGAGGAGGGCACTTAAAAGGTGACCGAAAAATGAAGTCTGCAAGCTGCAGAAACGAATACAACCAACTTGGTCTCAGCTGGCATGAGGTGCCCACCACCCACCTCTCTGCTCCCAGCTGATTGGCTTGAAGGATGGGCATTGTCCACATGCTCCGGGCATCTGGTGGCTTAGCCCACCACCAGTGGCAGTGTGTTGAATGGCAGTTAGGGACTGAGCTGATGGGTTTAGAATTTCCACATGGGCTGGACTCACCTCACGCAGGAGTTATCTCGATGGCTGGTTGCCCACCCCCACACTCTGAGCCCACTCTGCCTGGCCTCTGCACTTTGTTCTGTTGTGTCTTCCCTCATCCCTTGCCTTCCTCCTTTCCCAGGGCCCAGCTTCTAGAATCTCTTCCTTCTTCCCCAACTCTAGCCCTGGAAGCAGTGGTTGCAGAGGTGGAATTAGATGCACCAAAAAATTAATCTTGGTCCCTACAGTGCTGACCTGGCAGTCTCCAACTCTGTTATGGCTTTGTGTGTGTATCCCTGGCACCCGGCACAGTGCCTGGCACATAGCAGATGCTCAATAAATGATTGTCGAATTGATGCAAATTAAGCTGAATCTTCCATAAACTATTGCTCTCCCCCCAAATTGGTCATCTGAAGGGCAAAGGCAGGGATTAGTCCCTGAGACTGTCACAGTCCTGTCTCCACCCTCTATCCCCAGACTTATTCCCTGCCCTGGGCTCCTAGCTGCTTCAGCAGGGGCGGGGGCTGAGCTCCTGGGAAGGCTGGGAAGTGCTGAAGACAGTCACCCTGGGGAGGGGAGGGCGCTGCCAGCAGCTGTGCCTTCACTCTCCCTCCCTCCACTCCTCCTCAGCCCCAGCCTGGAGGGGCTGAGTCCCGGGGGCCAGCAGGGCAGGATGAGCCCACCCCTTCACCTCACCTCTCTCATCTATCAGGCCCAAGAGGCCCCTCACTCCGGGAAAACTATGGCTCTGTTGATTCAAACTGGAAACTAAGGAGCCAGAGAAGAGGGCAGGACCCTTGGTTTCTGTCTGTTGGAACCTAAGTTTCCCCATCTGTAGCATGAGTGACTTGACTAGTTGATCTCTGAGGGTCTTCCAGGATCATGTTCTCCGAGTCAACAGTTTCTGTCTCCGCCTTTCTCCCTCTCCCAGGGCTTAAACAACTCCCTTTTAATGTGAGTGAAATGGCAGTGAACACTGGCTCCCCACAAATGCTACTTTCCTCCCACAAAGGGAGTTGTTGGGCAGGACAGCCTATAACATGGCTCCAGATGGGACAGGGCCAGCCACAGGGTCTCAGGGACTCTAAGGCAGCCCACATGCTCCCCTAGGGCCTTCTCTTCCCTCTATTCCCACCTGAAGCCAGATGGGACCCCCACTGAGGGCAGTTGGGAAAGTCCACACTGAAGCCCTCATGAAGGCGGCCACTCTGCACACCACCTCCTCATTCCTGAACCATGGCTGCTCCCTGCCCAGGAGAGGGTGGTCACCCACTGGAGAAGGCAGTCCACAGCAAACGCTTCTTACAAGGGAGCCCCCACCCTCGGTCCCACAGCTGACTTTGAAATGGGTCTCCCGTGGGTGGGTACCTGTGATGGAACTTGACCCGTAGCAGGAGCTGCTCTACCAACACTGCCCTCACCAACATTCCCAACGGGTTAGCAGAAAACCAAGAGGCTCCTGTGGTAGCAGCTAGCAATGGAAACAAGAGCAGAACAGTGCTCCCTGGCCAAGGCTTGCATCCAGACTTGCTTTTAGCCCTGGCTTTCCTTCAGTGACCTGGAAATGCACAGTCATCCCTTTTGCCTGCTCTCCCCAAATTATAGGAATCCATCATCACCCCCAGCCTGACAGGGCTGCTCTGGGCTGAGAGCAGCCGGAGGAGAACAGCAATGCCACCCGAGGCCTTCTCGAGGCAGCCCTGGGCAGCGCAGGTGAGCTCTCCCCTTTCCTCAGGTCCTCTCCGAAGCCACTGGCAGACCAAGCGCTGGTAGGCTGGACAGCTGACCTTCTCCCCCACCACTGCCCACCCTCCCCCTTCTTTCCAGGACCTCCCACGTGCCCCCTGCCTCCTCTCAGGGACTGGTGGGTTAGAGCCCCTTCTCTTCTCTCCCCGGGGCCCACACATCCCAGACGCCATGGCAGGTTTCTCAGATGGAAGAGAGGTGGGTCGCTCTTGGTGCAGGGCAGGGATACGCAGTGAGGGGTTCAGGAGGCCCCGGGTGGGCCCTGGGCTCCTGGTTCAAGAGAAGCACACCAAGAGAGGACGGGGGGTCACGCGGGACAGGGCGGAGGGCGGGAGGACAGGACACGGGGAGGGGCTGCGGCCTCTGGCCCTGGTTACTTGGCGCCGTCGTCCGCGTTGCCCTCGCCGTCCGTCTTGCCCTCCTCCTCGGTCTTCAGGTCATCCGTGCTCAGTTTCTGCTCTTTTTTCCTCCTCACGCACTTGACCACCATCAGCACCAAGATGACCACAGCCAGAAAGCCCCCCACGGAGGCTCCCACAATCACTGCCACCGTGGAGTCCCGCTCGGGGGGCTCTGGAGAAGGAAGGGAAGCCGACCCGCTGAGCGCTAGGGCTGGAAGGGGGCCCGCGCACCGCCCCTGCCCCCGCAGCATGGTGGCTGCTCCTGACTCCACTCTCCTCCATGGACAGGACTTTGGTCAAAGCCAAAAATCCACCAGGGGACTGACCTCTTAGCACCCTCACCCCCAAATCTCAGGGCACCAGAAAGCCCCCCAGAGGAGATGGTATAATGGAGTATTGAACAGCATGAACTTTGAGATCCAACAGACCCAAATTTGAGTCCTAATTGTACCATTTACGAGTTGTGTGACCTTAGGTAACTTATCCTTTCCAATGTCAGTTTCCTCATCTGTAAAATGGGGATAATAGTAGGACCCCATTTTTATGAGGATGAGATGAGATCATGCATAGATAGAGTTTAGCCCCATGACTGAGACACACAGCGCCCAGTAAATGAAAGCTGCCATTATTATTATTGTTAAGATCATGATCATGTCTCTGAGACATGTTCCCAGGTCCTCAGGGACCAAAGGGAAGAAAACGGACGCCTTCCACCCAGCACAAGCTCCCACTCTCAGGAGGGCACAGCCTCCCCAAGGGCCCCAAGCTAATGCTGTGCAGAGCAGATGGCAGTCCCCTCACCTTCCAGGAGGACCTGCAGCTGGATCTTGCCATGGCCACGGTGGCGGTCGGGCGGGTTCATGATGTAGCAGTTGTAGATGCCCTCGTCCTCCAGCTGCACGTTCTTCAGCGTCACTGACACATCGTACTTGCTGGGGTTCCCCGAGAACTCCACACGGTCACGGAAGCGCTCCAGCTTCAGATTAATGATCTTCATTTTGAACTGGAGGAACTGGGGCGGAGGGCGAGGGACAGGGTGGGTGGCTGGGTGAGCAAGGAGCCACAGGGACAATGGGGATGCTCCCCTGTCCCCTGTACCCTTTTACCTGGGAAGAGAGGCAGCTACCTCCAGAAGGGCGAGGGACAGGGTGGGTGGCTGGGTGAGCAAGGAGCCACAGGGACAATGAGGATGCTCCCCTGTCCCCTGTACCCTTTTACCTGGGAAGAGAGGCAGCTACCTCCAGAAGGGCCCCTCAGGTGTGGCAACACACCTTGTATCAAAGCCCTCTGGAGCAGACAGCCCACCCAGAGTCCTCTGGGGCCTCGGTGCAGGCAGGGGCATGTAGTGGGAAGGGTGGGCTTCATGCTATGGGGCTCCTGCCTCCCGCTCCCCACCTTCATCCCAGGACTCACCATCTCCTCGGAGCAGTTACTGCACTCCTGGTAAGTCCAGTTCAAGGAGAACTGCTTGTGGTTCACTGTGTAGCAGGAGTTGAAAGTGCAGAGCAGGCGGGCATCAGAGCCATTGAGGACATTGAGGTTGGCAGGTACTGTGACCTCCATGCTCCACCCTGGTGGCACTGCAGACAAAGCCACAAGCTGAAGAGGACTCTGGCTGACAGGGCCAGAAAGAGGCAAGCCTTCTGTGGGGAGTTTTAGGGGGAGGCAGAGCAGAGCTGGAGGCAGCACGCTGGGTCCCTCACAGCTGCAATTAGTCAGGGGTGGACAAAGCACATAAGGGGCACTAGATGTGGCCCTTGGGATAAAGTGGGGGGGGGGCAGAGCAGATAGGGGTTGAGAGAGACCAAATCATCTGACAAGCCAGGGACAGCCAAATGGCCACAAGCCTTTTCCAGAACCACCGTTGGGCAGCCCCTCCACCTGCCCCTGTTCCACCAGTGCCGCTTATTAGCTGAAGGCCACAGAGAAGGGGCTTCACTGTGCTTGCCTCAGTTTCCCCCTTCTCACCACTTCCAACCATCTTTTCTAGGCCAAAGCCCTTGCAGCTGAAACTGCAGTGCTCTCCGTGGGGTAGGCAGCCTGAGGACAGGTAGAGATTCAGAAGGTCTCGCCCTCCATACCCTGGAAACAGAGCAAAGCAGTGTTCCCGACCCAGCCCAGCTCCTTTATCTTTCCCAGGCTTCTGACAGGCAGCAAAGAGGGCAGACAAGCGGAGGGCAGGCAGAGGTGCCCCAGAAGAAGAGGCACTGTTCTGAGGACCAGCTGACGGGTTTACAGGGACAGGAGTCCCTTTGGGAGAAGTCAGGTCTGGAAACGCGACAGCAAGGAGCTGACGTAGGCCGCCGGGGCGGCGGGGTGAGAACTGTAGATTCTTTGGGGTCCTATAAGGAGCACCAGACTTGGGCCAGGAGACCTGGGTGCTGGGGCAGAGAGAGGCCCCCCACTCTGACATCCCAAGCAAGGCGGAGTCTACAGTGAGGCAACTGAGCAGCTAGGGCATGACATTTGAGGAACATCCACTCTCACCATAAACACCTCCCTAAATGTCATGCCCTCGGTTCCTCACCTCACCCTAGCCCTGGACTTCATTCCAAGATTCTCAACGGATATTGTCAAAACTTCATCCCAAAAGATTGATTTTCTTTATAGAGTATAAACCGCAATGCTCAGCATCACCCATTCACTCATTTACCCAATATTTATAAATCACCTACTGTGTGCTAGGCGCTGAGTCTAGGCCCTGGGGTTACTGCTGTGAACAAGGCAGGCAGCCCCACTTCTACCTGCATCACGGAGCTTGTGTCCTGGTGAGGGGGACAGACACTAACAAGAAAGAAACAATAATGTAATTGCAGGTTGTTGACACCTGGCAAGGGCTGTGAGAAATAAAGCGAAATAAAGGGGTTTTGTTTTCTATAGGGAAGCCAGGGAAGGCTGCTCTGAGGGGCGACAGTAAGGCAGCTCCTGACCGCAGGGAGGGAATCGAGTGCCCAGGCAGGGGGACTACGAAGGGCAGACTGCAGTGGCTGGAACGAGCTTCACGTAACTGCAGCCGGACGAGCAGAGTGATGAAGGGACACACGTGAGACCCAAGGGCACAGAGTTAGGCAGGGGCCAGGTCACGAAGGGCCTTATGGGCCAGAACATGGAGCTTAGGATTTATTCTTCTGAGTGTGATGGAAGTCACTAGAGGCCTTGAGGTCAGCTAGGAGGCTGTTCAGGGAAGAATGACAGCTGTGGACATGGGAATAGCATAGGTCTGGGTTCAGTCCCAGCTCTGGCATCAGCCAGCTGGGAGAACGTGGGCAAGCTCCTTCACCACGCTAAGCCTTGGCCTCCTGCTCTGTAAAACACAAATGATGACACCTATCTCCTGGGGTTGTTATGATACTTACAATAAGCAGTAAATGCTCAGTAAATGGCAACTGTTATTATCCTAAATTCTCCTCAAGTTCTACCTCAGAAACAGGAAGAGCTTTAGGGGAAGTCTCTGGACCTTGGAGACTGACCCTAAAGCCAACTCTTTGGAATTTCCCCAGATCTGGCAAACAGCTTGGGCTTGCAGGGCTCCTGTTTTTCAAACTGTTTTGTTGCACCCAGCTGCTGGGTCCTGGCCCAGAAGCAGCAGCTCTGCAGCCTGCAAGCAGGGAAATCAAAGTCTGCCAGAGAGCATCCTTTGCTCAGCCCATCCCCCAGAGTGAGTGACTAGGGCAAGAGGCAGATATTAAGAGCAGGAGATGCTCTGAACTGCCGGCCCTGGAGATCACAACTGAACCCTAGATGCAGGAACAGGCATGCGGACCTCACCTTCGGGGGCTGAAGATTCCAAGGTGTATATTTAAGTGCTCATTAGGGGAGCACCAACTGGGGAGGCCGAGTGGGCCCCCACCAGGAAGAACAAAGCCCGTGTCCCATCCCCTGCACTTTCATATCCCTTCTGAAAGCACCTGACACGGCACCAGGCAAGGAGATGTACAGAAAATACCACCCCACCCCCACTCTGCAGGGAAAGGGGCAATCGGAGGGAAGAGGCTGACAGGCTTGTCCTGAGCTTACCTCCCATCCTAGGAATGCCTTGCCTCTCTAGCCCTTTCCTTTGGAAGGTCAGCCACCTTTCCAGGAAGCCCCTTCCCCTCAACCCCCCGACAAGCCTAGCGGACCTCAGCCCAAGGCAGCACTCTGGGTTAGAACTCGAACCCCAGCGGCAGCTCCCTCCGTCTTGGAGGAGCCAGCACCCAGCCGTGTGGGAGGGCAGAGCTGCGGGGAGCGAGGGGGCAGCCGGAGAGGTGCAATGCGGGCACCACCCCACGCAGCCGCCCCTGCAGGAGGCGCCAGGC